GGTGGTATGTCTGTTTGAGATAGAATGATGTTTACATTTTATGTGTATAAACTCACATAGATATATATTCCTAATATCTAAAAAAATTTTTTTTTCTTGAACACTTCACCAGTTGATTCACAGATTCCAAATATATATGAGACAATATATTAAATAGAAATGTTGACAGTTTCCCATGGAGAGTTTTCTGCAGCCTTGAAGAAGCTCTACTCAACATTTGTTTTGAGATTTAAAGGAATTTGATTAACATTTTGCTGTTGCCCATTGCTGAGTACTCTAAGTTGAGCTGGGACCAGAGGAGCACTGGATGAGTAAAGCTCTTCTCTTATTTACAGCCTTGTTGAAACAATGAAGTAGCAGGAATCTCCTTGGAGAGCAATGGATCACAGCACTTGTCAAGATTATTTCCAAATCAAAGATGACTTCCAAGGAGAAGCAAGGGTATAATTTTGGAGCCAGTCAAGCCAATGGCAAAAATCCCAATTTCTGCACAGTATTATTAATGGAGCCTCTGAAATTTTGGCATGTCATGTATTATAGATTATATACTATAGATTATATTGTGGATAAAAGGTCCTGCCCAAATTCAGCATCTGTGAGCCTTACAGAGGTATGACCCTAAAAAGGAGTGGTGAAAAAGGTCAGCCTAGTTTAAAAACAAATACCACGTTTATAATGAGGCCAAAGGGAGAATGAAGAATTCAGTACTTAATACTGACACCTGCCACTTGCAAAATATCTCTACCACTAGAAACAAATATCTGTGAGAGTTTGGAAAAGTTTGGTCACTCATTTGTTCCTCCTTTGTTTCCATTTCAGTCACTGGTCCATCTGTCCAATGACAGCACTGACATTGCTCAATGTCACAAAGCAAAGCTGCCGGAGTTGCTCCATGTGCTGCTCCCAGGTGAGAAGGCAAAAGGAACAGCTATAATTCTTACTAAACAAAACAAGGCAAAAGAATATTTGCTAATGTTTTTGGATATAGTTGTTAGGTCCCAGGCACAGAGATTAGTCAGAGTACCCGTAAATATCACTGTCACTGAAATTCTGATTTCCAAGTTCTTTGCTCCCAACGCCCGCCGGCTTTGAAAACTCAGCTGAGCTCTGGCTGCTACACTGGGAAAACCTTCTGGGATTTGCTTGGTTCTTGGTCTCCACCAGACCATTTCAGGAGGGGAAGCAAGAGGCACATCCATGTGGTGCATATCCCAGTAGAAAAGTGCCCCCCCTTTGTAAATCCTGCAGGTGACCCCTCGAGCTCCGTTCCTGATGTTGCAGCTTCCAGTGGCATCATTCAGAAGGGATCAGCCCCAGGGTGACAGAGCAGATGCAGAGCCTGGCAAAACACTCAGGCCAAGTATCCTAAGTGCTCAGGTCAGTTTTCTTTCTTCTCTGCATGTCTCTGCTGGGAACCAGAATCTTGGTCCTAATAAATATGGCAGTTCTGACTGTCATTTAAGAAAATTCAGTTTCCTAGAGAAACCTCAGACAAAAGAACCAACCCAAGATATTTATCACTTCACACTATGTTAATGCGAACAAAAACATTGCATGCTGCAATAAATCCATTACAGAGTCTTACCAGAACAAACTGATATTCCCATGGGGCCAATTTCAAGCTGGAAGGGTTTGGGTTGGTTTATGCTATTAATATTCTTTCATAATGGAGAAGGCATTTTTCAATTGAATGAGAAACTTTGCCTCCAAAAATGTCCAGTTTCATTGAAAGATTTAGAGGTTTCAACAAGAAAAAAACAAAGACCAGTGTTGGGAAGGATGAATAAATATAACTGCCTGGCAAAATGAAAACAATCCCCCCCTACTGGTTGAACAATGCCCTTACCTACAGATAGATCCAAAAGCCAAATGGACTGTTCTATCTCAACCCCTAAAATGTATGGTTCATCCCACACCTGTAACCCTCCCCTGAAACATCAAGTGTCCGTAACCCCATTGGCCCAAGTCTTGTTCCAGCCCACCTTGAAGCCCCTTGATAAGGGGTCTCCGAGGGGCCAGACGCTCTCTTGGAATCCCCGCTCTCTTGAAACTTCCACCCTCTCCTAGAGCATCCTCTCTACCCCTTGTCTCTCCCCTCCCCATCCCCTCAGGCCCTGCCACGTGCTGCATCTGGCAGCTCCAAGCAAGACCTTTCACCATCCCTAATAAACCTTATATTCTAAGAGCAGCCTTCAGAGATCTCTCGTCTCCATTCATCAAAACCGTCCTGGAGAGCAGCCTTCCCTACAGACCAGCAAATCGATGATTGCCTGAGTGAGAGATTTCTTCAGTGTTCTCCCTCTTCCCATCACCTCAAAAACTCAAAAAGTAAAATATTAACTGAAAGAACCATATCCATCCATGTCATCAACGTTTTTCATGGGGGAGAGCCATAGTGCTACCTCCATCATTTACTTTGCAGTGCTACCTCCATCATTTACTTTGCAATAATGATATATTTATGTGTTAACCCCAAAATTAGCACAGCCAAGCCGGGAATGCCCACAACGACTCCCTGAGGGACATATTTGTACCTGCAGAGCAGGACTGGGTGCAGTCACACACAGGCAGGGCCAGCCCAAGAGAGAGTGTCCCCTGGATTTGCAGAAACAGAGCTCAGCAAAGCCTGGCTGAATGGCACCATTTAAGCCTCAAAGGAGAGCCCAAGTGCCAGCCAGCACAAGGAGATAAGGAGCACCCTGGAGAAGGGCACAAAGGTGGCACTGATGAGCAGCACTTGGCTTTGCTCCCACAGGGGTCACAGCTGGGTCCTCTATTAAATTTTTCTTAACACAGCAGTACTCAGAATTATACCAAGTTACTCACTAGTATTATTTGACAGTCCTGGCATCAGCAAAGACAATCAAAGGCTCTGTTATCTTCTTTTATAAGCTGCAGAATTTGGCTCTGAGGAGACAAAGGGCCAGCAGAGCATGTAAGTAAAGAGGTACCTTTGTCTCTCTGAAGGTGCATTCTGGGTTTAGCTACAAGAGCCTCCATCTGGAAATACCAGTGACTGGTAAAAATGTGTCCATTCTGAATTTTTAAAAAATTATCTATTATAATAGAAGGAGAAACTATTTCCATTTCATTACCAGTATCCCTTTGGAGCTGAGGTTCCTGTGTGCACATGCAGCATTCAGGTTTGTCACACTAAAGCATCAGTGTGGCAAAGCTGTTCCCAGTCATTGCTCTGTTTATTTTCGGTGTCCCATCCTATCAGCTCAAATTGACTTGGGAAGAAGTAAAGCAAGGAGAACAGGCAGTTTTTAAGGTTGCACCAAGTAAAAGGTAAGAAAATATAATCAATTTTATTTCATGCCTTCTTGCCAATTGCTAGAAATGTGCAGTCCATATGAATGCATATAACAAGGAGGGAATGTTGGGAAAACCAATAAAGATTTTGTGGTCTTAACTATAATGAATGTAGTTTGATATAGAGTCTGTTTTTCACTGCATGGCAAAATGAATCATAAAATACTGGACCTTGAAACTCCTGCATTTTTTAACAATAGCCTGGGGACAGTTTACAGTGTAATGAATTGTAATTAACCCACCTTCAAAATCTTTTATGAGTATTTTGCCAATTAGCTTCGCATGCTTGCTAATGACTCATGGCCAGCGCATGTCTTTACAGAGCAGCGTTTACAGCACACACCAGCCTGGGAAGGCAGCAGAGGGACACAGGATGGGGAGGGACATGCAGGTAAGGCCCAACCAGTCCTAGCAACCTACATATTTCAGCATTCAAAGAGCCTTTGCTGTTCTCCCAGCCCCAAAATAGCTGCAATAATGTATAGCAACGTCAAAAGGCTTTGGTTTCTGAAGGATTGTGAGGAATGCAGAGGGCTCAAGTCCTGACATCTGTTGTTACTTAGTACTAACATATATAATGCTGCTAATTGCTGAGCCATCTTTGTTTTCCTTACTTAGCACTCGGGTTAGAATTATTTTATTTTTGTGGTTCATGGCTTCCTGCCACTTGCAACACAAAGTCCACTCTAAAGAAAATAAAACAACTACCAGGCTGCCTACTAACAGTGTGTGGAGGGCTGGGGCTGCCTCTTGCCCCTCTTCTGTTTTAGGTTTTGTTTTGGTTTGGTTGGGTTTTTTTTTTTTTGTTAAGGTAAGCAGAGCTGGAACCTAACCAGTGTCACAGTGAAAGACCACATGGGCCAGTATCCCATCTCCTAGCATCCCACCTCCCAGCATAGCCAGGAGGTAATGCAGGCAATGCAGAATCAATCCCTCCCCTGCTGTACCCTCCTTGCTCCAGGCAATCTGCGGTTTATGGACTTCCCGAGGCAGAGGCTGCCTCCAGACCAGTGTGTTTTAACAGCCACCCATGGATCTATCCTCCTCAAGTGTTTTTGATCCCTTTCTCAAGCCATTTATAACTTTTGGCCTCCATAACATCCTGTGGCAATGAGTTCCACAATTTAATTATGCTTTGTATGAAAAGGTACTTCCTTCTGTTGGTTTAAACCTTCTTGTGTGACAGCACCTCCAGGTCCCTCTAATTCTTAGGAGAACCAGTGAACAGCCAGTTCCTATTTGCTTTTTTCTGTGTCAGTCATGATCTGACAGAGCTTTACTGAATCTCTTGCTTCTGTCTCCCCTTTCCCCACCCTGAAGGTTCTTCATCTGCTTATTTTTCCATCTTTGTGGAAACTGTTGCCCACCTCTCCTCATCCTGAATGCTTTCCTTCCTGTGCTTTTCAGTTCAGCCCAACTCTTCTGGAGTTCCATGGCCAGAAAACTACCATGGAAATGCAGTTTCACTGAGGAGTGCTGTAATGATGTTTTCTGATTTGTTCCTTCCTCTTTGACAGCTCATTCCTAACAATATTGTTGTCTCTTCTGATGGACTTTAAATGATATTTGCAGAGGCCTCCCAGCTCTCTTTGCTCGATGTTATTTTTAGAGCTCATCTGTGTGTAAGTACAGTGAGGGTGAATGTTTGGCACGTGCTCTGTCTTTGTTGACACTGCCCCGCATCAGCCATTTCACTGCCCAGCCACTCGACATCGTGAACCCTTTCAGCTGTGCTTTGTGGCCACATTTGCATCATCTGCAAAATTTCTCTTCTCTCTAGTCTTCCTTTTTACCAGACTATTTATTATTTATGAATATGTATGAACACTATCAAATTAGTATTTCAACAACTCAGTTCAAAGTGAAACCTCTCTCACACAAAGATGTGTGGCAGACACCAGCCAAGGCCTTGAGGGGACCCACCAGTGACTTCCAGTGACTGTGAATGTTCAGAGGTTTATACCCATCCTCCAAAAAGGAGTTTTTAACTCCTAATAGCCCCAGGAAAAAACTTTCTTTTGTCATCTCCTATCATGAAGCTTTGTTGCAGACAGTTTCTAGGCATTTATGTTTATTGGCACAACGACTCTCTGAACTCCTCTGAACATGTTATCAATGTTGAGTGGGTAAGCAGGAGAAATCAGTGATAAGAAGGACCATCTGGTGTGTCAAGTATTTCATTCCCCAGACAGAGATATGTCATTCGTCAGCTCATTGTTTTTAATAACTCACAGTCTGTCCCTCTTGGTTGTGCAGACCATGGAACACAGGCTGGTAAGAAAGGCTCAGCTACAACAGTGCCTTTTGTTGCCAAATACAGAATCACTTCTGTTTACAGGTGAAATGCACACCTTTGGCACTGAATTCCTGAAGTTCACCAGCAAAACCCACAGAATCTTTCCTGAACTCCCTATTGCAGGAGAGCTGAAAGGTAGGCTTGGCTTGGCATGCCTGGAAGATGCCCATTGGTGTTCTCAGCTGCCCTCCTGTCATGGAATTCTTAGCTACACTGGAAGGGAGTTCACCTGAAACTGCCCTGCTTGCACACTCTGGCAGAAGAGATTTTTCCCTTTGCCGTACCATGGCACAGATCCAGTTCTCCTGGAGACTTAGCCCTCATGGCAGTGTGAAACCCCACAGGGCAGTTAGCATTGCCAGGCCATTTCCTTGTGTCACTAAATGTCACCTCTGCTCTGTTACCCCATGTCATTCTCACTTCCCCATCAGTCTGCTGCCCCAGGGTTTGGCAGGAAGGGCCAAACTTGTGATAAACTTTACCTGAGACTCAGCTTATGCCTCATCCTTGAAAGCCCTGTGTCTGGAAAGCATCCCCGAGTGCTGTGACTCTGCCCTGGCTCTGTTGTGGTGCCACATGGAGTTATCAGGAGTTTCTGAGTGTTACCTCTCTGGGTGTTGCTCCATGCACCACTTTGCACCTGGAGAACTCGTTTGCTGGACATGCAGATAATCCACTGCAGAATTGTATCACAAACATGACCCTGGTGCTTGCAGAGAGCCTCAATGAAAGGGGAGCTGAGATTTACTGCAGGAATTGTACAGTTCTTGCTGTGACTCTTCAGAGTTGAGCACCATGTTTGGACCACAATTTTTTCCAAAGAAAAAATACAATATCTGCATATTTCCAACCACACTGATCCTGCTGTAGTGACCTCAATTGCAATCCCAAATCTTCAACCTGATTTTCCTATTCTTAGTTCAACAGGAGCTTTTCCTGTACTTTGCAGGACTGGACCATCTGTGTACATCCAGGTCATGGAAAAATATTATTTCTGTACTAAATGAGATCAGTGTGTCCTCAGTGTAGAGGGACTGCACTTCCACTTTTCCTCATTGGGGTCTAATTCTGAATCAGGGAATGGTGGCATTAAATTCAATCAGGGCAGGGTTATTATATGTGTTATTTTAACTGATCTAACATGTCACAAAAATGCGTTGAATCTCCTTTTTTTTTTTTTAAGAGCAAAATAAAACATATGGTCATGTAATCAGTGGGAATCACTGGACACCGACACAGGAGAGCTGCAAGCATGGAAATACTCAGATATATATTTGAAGTAACACCACAGGTTTTTTGGGTGGGATTCTTTGCCGTGCTGAACTACGTCTGGACAAATAATTTGGATGTTGACCACTCAGGTAATGTAATCCAAAATCCTGTTGCCCGTATTGCAAACAGAAGAGGAGGAGAGAACATTTCATTCCTGTCTCAGGCAGAGCAGAGCACAGCTGTGGTGTTTCATTGCAGGCAACACCACTGCTGTAACCCAGCAGAGCACTGGTGGGGGGTTTGAACTGAAATTATTGCTCTTCTGCCAAAGAGCTGAGGCAGAATGAGTTCTTTTTTATGTTTGTTTTTTCTTCTCATTGACTCCAAAGCATAAAAGCAATTAGTGTTTCTGCAGTGCAGTAGGTGACATCAGCACCCTGCCATGCTGGAGTTGTTTTTTCTGTGCACAGAAAGGGAGGTCTAATGTGAATGGCTGGGAAGTGATGGAGGTGCAGGGATTTCCAGACTGTCCAGCTGAATTTCCCTATTCTGCTGCTGTGTCTTTCACCAGCTGCAGTACAGTGATCTCAGCACTGAAGCCAGTCCAGGTGTGCTGGAGATGGGATAATGCATCAATTATCACACATCCTATCACAGAATCACTCAGGTTCAAAAAGACCTCTGAGATCATTGAGTCAACCTTGATCAGCACCCTGTCAACCAGACAGCAGCACTGAGTGCCACATTCAGTCATTTCTTTAACAATTCCAAGAACTCTGACTCCACCACCTCCCTGTGCAGCCCACTGCAATGTTTACCAACCTTGCCACTGAAGAAATTCCTCCTGATGTCCAGCCTGAACCTATCAAAACTCTCAGGACAGATCCAATCCCATCACTGATTAGCATCTCTCTTTTTTTATCTTCTTTAGCACTTAGCTTCTAACACCTGATGGAAATTTGAAAGGCTGGAAGTGTCTACTGCACCCTTGAGTAAAATGCCATCCATTTTACAACAGTCCAGTTCATGCATTTGTCTGTAAATTCCACAGTGCCTCTTTGTTTAAATGCTTGCTCCTTATTCAGGATTATTCACTAAGTCTTTTATTCTTGACATCCCCCACAGTTTAAAAAATAACTTTTCTCCATGTTGACAAGCTGTATGTGAAGCAGCTCCTCAGGCTGGGGCGGCTCAGTGGCTTCTCTTGGATCGGTAACGCTCAACTAAGGACAGTTTTTTTGGGAGGGTCTTTGTGGTTACCTGCATTCCTTTGGGCCAAGCATTCATTTCTTAGGCAGAAACATAATTTTTATATAACCTTTTTTTTCCCTGAAAAACAGATTTTCTGATGTCCTTTCCAAACAGTAGCTGGGAACCTGGCTCTCATTCCAGCCTAAGCCCATCTATGGCATCTATTACTAGTCTTGCACCACTGCACCCCTTTGCCTAAAGAGTTCTTCTTTCATTCTTTAGACAGAGACACATAGCTACATCACACTCTAAGTTCTAGCCCTACTGAGCAACTCAGGGACTTCTGCCAACTTGGAAACAAGATATGAACTAAAGAGTTTATATTTTTGCATTAAAATGGAAACAGGTGGGAAGGACGCGGGGAACTTATCAAGCCACATAAATACTTTTTTTCATGTTAGAATTTGAATGGAATGGAAATTACAATCTTCCAGTGTTGCTGCAAAGCAGCAATATTGAGTTTCTCCTTACTCAGCGTTTAGCAGTAAGGAACCAGGTGCAGTGGAGCTGGAGTTCTGGAATTTGCCTCCTAACCCCATCTAACTTCTCTCCTAGGCCTGCCCTATTTTGAATTATTGTTCCACCTGACACAGAGGATGTTTCTGGCTCTGGAGAGAAGAGTCAAGTCTTGCAGTATTTTTTTTATAGATTGCTAACTGGAGAATAAGAACAGGAATGAAGTGCCGGCTGGCAGAAATCAATGGATTTCCCTTTTCTTACCTGATTTATGGCAGTGAACCTCTGCTCCCACACTGAGTTAGGTGCTTTGGCTCAGCTCAGGTATTTGCTGTGTGTCAGCACTGAGCCAGTATGTGGTGGAGAGACCGGAGCCACACCAAAGCTCTGCCTTTGGAGCCAGACCTCTCCCACCCCCTTCCTACCTCCACAGCAGAACAAAACCTGAGGGAAGTGTCCCAGCTGAGGGGGAGCGTGTTCCTAGGAGGATTTACTAAAGTAAAACCCACATCCAAAATAATTTTTGAAATTATGACGTAATATAAATGAGACAGACTTTTCCAAAACACTTGGTTGTCCATTGCCCAGGGGTAGGAGCAGCTGCAGCACTGGTTGGACAAATAAGTAAACAAATGGATGGACAAACAATCTAACAGACTCCTGACTGCCTTCACTCACCCTTAATTAACAGTTTTCAGTAAATAGCCCTGGCTTTATCATTATTTTAGAGCTGGAAGTTATTGACCCAGTACTGCAAATGTTGCTATCAGCCCAGCCACAGATGTAACCCATGTGAAATCCTACTGGAATCAAATGGATTTCTCAAACTGCATCTGTTCAGCTCAGTAAAGAGCCTGTGACCACAACCATTAGCTTTTCCAGTAAAATGTCCTGCACAGCCCATTCCATGAGAATATGCAATATCTGCAGTGCTCTGTGCCACAGGCACCAGGGCAGCCTGGTGGCACAGAGCACTGGCAGTAAGCTCCAAGTCTAAATGAGCTTAAAAGGTGATTCAAACACTTCTCCTGTTATCAAGCTGCATTTTTAATTTGAACTAAGAACAGCTTTCTGTTATGTTAAGGTTTGGAGAGTTAGCCAGTAATATACATATGTATTTAATTTTTTTTTTACCATTTTGTACTTACTGGCTGTTTCTCGGTTTGCAACAGAATCTGGAATCCAAAGAGCAAAGTATTTGCAAAAGCTCTATGGCTTCAAGGTCTTTGAACTCCCTGACATCAGGAGATGGAAAGCTCCCAAGACAGGCTGTTCTCCTGAGGCTTTCAGCCCAATTTCCAGGAACTGGGGCAGGTCGAGTGCATTCAGGGGGATGGATTTTCCTCCAGAGGGAGGAAATATTCAGGAATGATTCAACTGTGCAATAAAATCATTGACATTTGCCTGTCACTTGTCTAGACACATGTTTCAAAAGGGAATAAAATAAAAGGAAGAAAAATACCCTGTCTGGGAATTCTTACCCAGTGACTTCCACAGCCCAAGAGCTGGGTAATTCTCCTCAACTGAATAAACATCAGAGGCAGTCTGAGAGCAATTTGGCTCCAGAACAAATATTGTTTCTGAATTCTTTGCACCTGCAATGGCCAGGGAAATGATAATACACCCTCTCCATGGTTTCCTATGCCAGGCTTTGGAAAGCAGCTGGGAAGCATCTCCCATCTGCCACAGCACAAAGGTCTGTGCGGGCAGGGCTTCATGTGAGACCCTGCTGGAATGATCACATCCCAAAGGGAAGTGAGGGTGTCAGCCTCTCAGGGACAAGTTACTGGTGGCCTCCTTGAGGGACTCAAAGACCAAGCAATTGGGAAGAAGAAATAAGCTGTGGATAATGGTCTTGCCTGGTACCACCTCAGGCACATGAACACAGCAATGGCTGATGCCCCTGTGAGAGCATAAATTTGAGTTCATCAGCACCACAGCTGCTCAGCTAACAGGGCCTCAAGACAGATAAAAATAGGGGGTAAATTGTATTTTAAAGTGTTTCTGCTGTAAAATAACTTTTTCCCTGGATGAATCCTAGCTAGAAATAGATTTGTCTAATAAGGAGATCTTGTGTCTCACTGGGAATTTAATTCAGTCCTGAGTCACAAGTTATTTGGTTTATGCTACTCTTTGAGTATATTTGACTGTATTTCCCTTAATTTTTAGTAAACTTAGTGATGTTGCTGTGGTTCTGTGTTGTATTGAGAACTTTTCAAGTTATTTGCATTTATCAAAAGCACAGAAAAAATGGGCAAATTCTGTGTTCCACTGGAATGGTTTGTCCACAGTATATAAACTGTTGCATGACAATTTGCCACCCTGCATTGCACTAGCTGTAGAATTCAGTCATTTAGTCCTGTACAAACCCCAATAATTTGCCTTTTAAATATATAATAAATATAATAAATATATAATAAGATGCATTTATTTATTACATAAAGCACATGTGGTGCAACAGGCTGGTGTTGAGGTGGTTCTGCTCACTCACAGCCCCAAATTCTTGTACAGTAGCAACAAGCGTAGGAAGTTTTATACTGTGAGGAACTCAGTGCCTTAGGAGGGCATTTTCGAATTTCATTTTTAAATTATACCTACAAACATTTGCACAGGGTCCTTGTTTTTAGTCATCTCAATATTCTCAATCTCCGGCAGATTTAAGAACAGGTGATGACAAAACAATATGAGCTGAAAAAATGGTGGGTAAAGAGGAGAAAAGACGTGAAGATAGGGATCAGATTATTAGGAGAGAACAAGAAAAGGGACAACACTGAATTACAGAGCCTAAATTCAAAAGAATGATGCCAATTTCAGTTAGGTAAGTAGCTGTAAAGACTACCAAATATTCCTTATGATTCTTAAGCATATTAACAGGTAATTATTCATATCTGTCCATGAAAATTAGCCCTCACAAGAATGCAATTTAATCACTGCAAATTCACATTGGCAGAAAAAGCACTCTGGGCTTTGTATCACTTGACTGAGCTTAGCAAATGGAAACACAGGAGATTTGGTTGATCCTCTGCAAAGCTTTTGGGATGTGACATGATCAAAAAGGAGCAGGACAGTCTCGTGATTAGGTTTTGAATGCGAGATGGTGCTGAGCGCTAAACTGGAGTCGTGAGCTGTGCTGCTTCCGAGCCCTGCTGTGGGGGGATGAGAGCCCGGGATGAGCACGATCCCTCTTGCCTGCGTTGTTCATTTGGACAGGGAGCACCGTGTGCCCTGACAGTGTATGAATGTGGTCCTGCAGCAGCACACGGCTGACTCAGGAATGAGCCTGAACAAAACCTGGCACTTTCTGCCCAAACAAGGGAAGGCGCCCCGCAAGATCCAGGGTGTCAGAAAGTGTTCTGCTCCTCTCACCACACTGACAGAGCCCCAGTCACCCCCCACCTGGTACCCCCAGCCATTCATTACTGCTGAAGGCATTCCACTGGGAATAGCTGGAACATCCCAAGCTCCCTGAAGGAGCAGCCCCATTAGCGGAACCTCTGTTAGATCCAGCCCAGACTTCCCCACTGTACCACATCATAAAACCAGCGTGCATCTGGCCCAAATTTAAGGCACAGTTAGCGGAATTGATACAAGAAAGAAACCAAGGTCTGAATTAGTATCCCACAAGGTTGTTTGGGTTTTTTTCCACATCCCAGATGAAGTGAGGAGCCATGTGGAGAAGTCCTGCATCTGCCTCCAAACTGTTCCCAAATGCTCTCTAGGTTTCACCCTCTTTCAAACTACTTCATTACCTGCCCTTGTTTTTGTTGCCAGGAGAAGTTAACAAAATTACCAAGGGATGAAACATTCTTGAAACATTCTTTCTGGCTCATCAACCAGGATTAGCGGATGAATTGCATTGGGTGGTGCACACCTAAAGGAGAGGGGCAGTGAGGCTGCACCATCACCTCCTCCTCTTCAAGGAGTCACCACAGAATTCAGGGTGTGCACACACCTGGGTTTGGAGGAGAGGCAGAGGGACAAAGCCCCTGACTGCTGCTGCTGAGGGCTCCCCAAGTGCTGGGGTTGCTCTGTGCTTGACCAGTGCTGCCATGAGCAGCACACTGGGAAATCCTCCCCAACACCTGTCTCCGAGGGCCTGCCCAGCTGCAGAAGGGCCAGGTGAGCCAGCAGGGCAGAGCTCCATGCCTTGGGAAAGCTCAGCTCTCCCTCAACCTTCCCCTCCTTGCTGGGGAAGGTTGTGATCCTTGGCAGTGCCAAGATGTGACAACCAAGTGGTTCTAACCCCCAGCAGGGAATGGCCTGCTCTGCCTGTCCCTATGGCCTCTCCCTTTCCATTTCACCTTCCCACCAAACACTCTTCCCACCAGACAAACACTCTTCTCACCAAAAGTTTATTTTCAATAAACTGCACAGGTTATCAGGACCTTCCACATCTGATTTTGTACCTTTGCTCTTCCAGCATCACTGATAAGTACCAGTGTTCCCAGGGTATAAGTTTGTTCCCGCCTTTTGTCTTTGCCTTTGATCTGTCACAACCAGGGGGTTACAAAATAAAGCTCTGCACATCCCTTGACAATTATACTTATTAAGGTGGCCCTGGCAGCCCAAAACATTTACGGTCACTACAACTTAAAACTTTTGTTGAGGTCTTGAGTATCTCCTGGAAATAGAAATTAAAAGAAATTAAAAGTGGAAATTAAAATTGGGAAACACAAATGTTTTATAAAATTAGTAATTAAAATTGGGAAACACAAATGTATTATAGATTATATGTGTCTTCTAGAGTTAGAAGCCAGCTAAGCAGAAGGTAAGGGGAAAAAAAAGCAGAGATTAAAATCTAGGCCAGAACAAATGTTGGACAAGAGCCCACACTGTCAAGTCCCAGACATCCCACAAGAGAAAGAATGAAAGGGAGCAAAAAGGAATTTTTTAGAGGAGGAATAGTGGTCTTTGCAAATATCCCATATTATGGAAAAAAAGACATTTCAGAAATGCTATTGCTTCATTCCATTTTCTCCTTCTAGGACAGCCATTAGTGGCCATTAATATTACAGATGCTTTGCTACTTGTGCTGCTGGCTTTTGCTTATCTTGCCCTGCCCCTCCTTCAATCCCAGCCTCACCTCTGGTTTGCTGCTCCCCAGTCTCTCCTGCTCCAGACACAAACCACCAAGCCCTTTGGTCTGCTCAGTCCCCAAGAAGCAAAACAACCCTCTGCCTCTCCTCCAGAGCAGCTGGACTCGGGTGCTCCCATGCACGGGTGGGCACCAGCAGCAGGACCTGTCTGCACTCCCTGTGCTCCTCTCTCAGTCTTTAATAAGGCATGGGCATGAAAACTGCTTTTCCCCAGATCCCAAGCATTTGGGTGCTGCAGATTTCACAGCAGTTAACCCCACCAAAGAGGGAAAGTGAGCCCTGTGGCTACTGCAGGAGGCAGGACCCCGTGCCCGCCCTGGCAAGGTGCAGGGATGAGAGCAAGCTGAGGCACAGCCGCTGCCATGCCCACGCCTCTGCCTGCAGTTGGAGCATGCCCAGGTGCCAGGGCTGCCTGTCCCGCTGAGGAGACAGCAGCCACAGCCACTGAGCACTGAGGTTCATGCTTTGCTGAAGTCACAGCCTTAGGCTACGTTTTCTTTCAAAAGCAGCAGCATTATTTTAAAAGCTTCACTTTCAGAAGTAACTTAAGCACTTCAATAGTAAGTCTTGCTGGCTCACAGTGAGGTTCACACCCTTAACTGCCTTAAGTTGCCCCTGGGATAGGCTCAAGGTTCCCACCATTTCACTGCTTCTCTGACTGAGCTACCAGATCTTCAGGACAGGGACTCTCACTCCATAAGACTGGGTTTTAATATCCATGCCTAAATCACTGGCTTGTTTGGGTGCCAAGATGTCCAAAATAATGGTTGGTCTTTTTGTTGTGGGGCTGACCCTGCATTCCTCATGGAGTCAAAGCTCCTCTCACTTCTGAAAGGTGCAAAGAAAAGCAGCCCACTATCTTCTTGCCAAATTATTCTCCATGGGAGATTTGATTTGAAACTCACAAAATACCAGGATTTATGAGGAACTGGTCACAATGTGATCATAAGAACATACCAACATTGTAGTTCCCCACCCTTTGATCTTGGCACTTTAATGATTAATTAGTGCTAAAGTACTGGAAAAATACCTCACTTGAGGCAGTTTAAAGCTTCTCTTTGTATAGATACAAACTATGACTCACATGAAAGGATAACCCAGAACTGCAAGAGGGTGAGATTAACTCAGAAACCTCTGGTCACGTGCAGATGTTTGCCCAACTGGACAAATGGGAGAATCTGCTCAGCTTTAGGGACTGTTCCCATTGAACAGCCTACATTTTCCATCACATGAACTGCAAGAAACTCTGTCAACATGGAGGGAAATCCATCCCTTAGAAAGAGACACATGTTCAAGGAGCTGTGAGCCTTAAAGAAGCATCACATCCACATCTTATGGCAATTTGCAGAAAATATCCCTCACCTGGGGTGGTTGGAGAGAAACCATTTTCCCCTTCCTCTGTCACAAGTGTGCATTTAAATACTTCCAAATATGCTGCAAGGCGTAAGTCCCACTGCCACCAGTGCTGAGAACAAAGCATGACATGGGAGGGAAGGCTTTTCTTGCATAATCCTGCAGAGATTACGTGTACTGCACCAAAAATCAGGTGCTGAATTTACATGTTCACAGCCCTGCCTCTCACCCTTCTTCTCCAGCCATCTGTCCCTGTGCATGCAAACACTCAGGGACCAAGGACAGGACAAGAGCACTCAACCTAATCAGAAATGGCTGAAGTACCCCTGCAGCCAAAACCCAGTGCTATGTGGAGACCCCAGAACCAAAGTTGTCTGTAACCTTTCTTTTCCCAGAGACCTGTGAACAAAGCCCCCCAGCACTGGGGTGCCTCCAGCCTGGATTTCCACCTCTGCCTGCTGGTGGGAGCAGCCACAGCTTCCCACAGAGGGACTTCTGTACATGGCCTGATAAACCATGAGATCATGCCAAAATAAAGTGAGTAAAGCCCTTTTCTTCATCACTATTCCAGCTAAGTGCTGCAAACACCTTCTGATTTATGGCAGGTTTGCAGCACTGCGCATGGAACCCGCTGCTCACAGCCTCAAGGGGAGCTGACTTTGTTCTGGGACAAATTTCAGGAAAAGTTTCTTGGGGGTCTCTTTTCTGTATAGGAACTCAAATAAGTGTTTGACTTGAACTCACCAGAGCAACAAAGATGGTTTGCTGAAGATAACACCAGACTTAGTTTGGATCTCTCATACCTCCATCACTGCCAGGCTCTGGACCCTCAGGATAGGGCACCATCCATTATGGCACAGTGAAGTTAGGATTTAATTCTCCATACATTAAATGTTTCCATTTACTTTGAGATCATCACATCAAAGGTACCCTTGGAGCACAGATCTTTAGTGCTTTATTGGCAGTGAGTAGGTTTTAATATTTGCTAGCAGAGCTACTGGAAGTGCTCTTTGTGGAACCTGAAAGGCAGAAGCATTGGCTGGACTTTGTGTTCCTTACAAGAACTAAGGCTGAGCTCAAGTCCAGTGGAAGTGCAGCTGAGGTGCAGCACAGCCTGGTCAAGTACCGGAGGGGCAAGGCCAAAGGGATTGTGACACACCCACATCACATGAAACAGGGAAATTGTTTTCTGGATTTGACATCCAAACCCACTTGGCCTCAGAGGAATTCTACACAATCCCCAAATTGAATCAAAATCTGAGGTGGCAATACAGAATTCCTAGCCTGTGTAATGACAGTTCTCTCCTCCCAGTGCTTTGATCCTCGCTCAATTAAAGCAGAAGGGGAAAGTTGAAACAAATAGCATTAGCTAGGAAACTCCAGATAGGAGGATTTCTGAGCATTCAACATTAGTTGTGCTGTGAATTTTGGAGGCTGCAAGGAGCCCTGTTCCCTCAAAACAGGGCATTTGCCTGGAAGAGGTGGAAACCCAAGGACAATCAACTGATCTCAGCCAAGCATAGTCATTGCTTGGACCCTGGATTCCCACATTAGCAGGAATGTCAGACACTAGGCTGGTGCACAGAAATATAGGGATATGGAAGAGAGAATCCATCTGCTTATGTCTATCAGTCTCTATCCCTTCTCCTCCTTCAATTCCATCTAAGACTAAAGACCTTATCCTTCAAACAACCTGTCAGAAACCAGACTACTTCAGAGTTAAAATTTCAGCCTGAATGATGAGACTCTTAAGTCTAAGAATAAGTATTTGAAGACCCTTATTATTGCATACACAACAGCAGCTGCTTTCATCCTAAGCTTGAATGAAAATTGCAGGATGGAAAATACAATTCACAGATGGATAAGCAGCAGTTGTCCTGCAATGCAAACAAGCCAAAGAAGGGAGGGCAGGGAATCATGGAATTGTGCACAAAAACTTTGGCTGGTGGCTTTGGTATCTCCCTCATCACAGACAGGGAGCTCACAGACAGCCCAAAGAAGCATGGAAGAAAGCACTTCCATGCCTGATTGCCAAGTAACAGAATATTCCTGTGCAGAGCAGGGTGAAGGGCACCAGGAAGGGCAAGTGGAGCACAGGGAGGTGCAGGGTGTGCTCACCTTGTCCTGGCAGGTCACAGCTGCTTGCCATCCTCAGGAGAGAGCATCCTCTTGATCCTCTGTCTTCTCGTCTGGCTACAAGGAGCTGAAGGGCCAGGAGCTGGCCTTTGGAGCAGGGCCGTGCATGGAACCCAGCATCAGCCCCATTGCTTGCCTCGTGCCCTTCCAAGCCATCCATTCCCATCTCCCTGTGGCAGCACCTTCATCGAGTGGGATCTGACTATGGGTCTGGAGTGAAACTCTTAAGTCTTGGCAGATTCCTCATGCCTCTGGATTTCAGAGAGGACACCCCTGCAGGTCTGGGATCCATACTGGAATCTGGCCACCGCTTTTAGGACATGAATGCTTTGCCCTGAAAATAGTTAGCAGCACATTCAGAGCTGGAGAGAACAGAGACAGCACTTCTGAACTCAGCTCTGAGCACTGTTTACCCCTTAGGATATCCAGTAATGTTTCCTTCCACGAGTAACTGCTGTGAGATATCCACATATCTCCCTGGCTTGCAAGGCTGTCAGAAGAAAAGCACTCAACAAAGAGCTGCATCTTGCATCACACCCTCGATGCAGGGAGCCCCAGGGCTTTGGCATACCTTTGTGAGGAGAACATTCCTAAATCGAGGGCTCTCTCTTCACGGGAACACCCTATCCTCCAGCACCAACACACTTAATCCACAGCCCCATGGGCAGAACTTCCCACCACCCACAATTCCTGGGTGATGCAGTGAATTCTGTTTATAGCCAGATACACTGCTGGCAACCAACTAATCACCCAGCACCAAAAAAAATAAACAGTGTAATGACAGTCCAAGAGCCATTTCCCAGTGCCAAGTTCCCCCAACTCTTCCTCCATCTCCCTCCCTCCATCTCCAGAAAAAGAAAATGAAAAAGAGGCGGCATGCTCAGCACACTGAAGTGCTTTGAGGCTCAACTGAGTCATTCATTCATTGTTTTTCTATTCAGAACTCAATAAACCAGGACCTGCCAGTATTTCAAGACACAAAATGCAACAGGGAGTCTTTAGCTTCTGAGTTTCCATATTCTCTAGGTGTTCTTGTGCATTTCCCCATGACAATTTCATTGGAATAGTACCCCTTTTTTGTCCTGATTCTCTTTGAGAGATTTATCAGAACAATCCAGACTGGTTTTGTAAATTTGAGTGCATATTGGTGATGCATATAGCTTTAAAGTTGGACACAATTTTTGGAAGGAGGAGATTCCATTTTCATGTATTTTTCTTAGGCTCATTCCAAAAACAAAGAAAGCTAACCCCTGCCCTATTTTGGACAGGTGGAGGAGAAAAATGGATGCAGTGGACATGTACCAAAACACATGCTGCAGAACCAGGCTCAATTTTGTCTGGCAGGAGGCCCTAATGTGTCTAAAAAGCAGAAGAAAAGACCCCCAGCCCCAGCAAGAACAGGCAGGAAAACCCAAACCCCAGCATGAAGGGCAAGAGGTGAATTGGAGCCCTGCTGGCCTGTCCTGCTCTGTGCTGAACTCCCCATGGGCTGATGCTGCCTGGGAGGAGCACTTCCCTTGGGCTGTGGCAGCCAGACTGGTTTGGTGACTGCTGCATTTGTTTTTCCCTGGCCCCCCACATCCCAGGTGCTGCCCCTCATAATCCTAATCCATCCCTGTGGTGCAGTACCCTATCCTGCCTTCCTGCATAACAGTGCAAATTGTTCTCTGCAGGATCAAGAGGAGGAAGATGATCCTGTGGCTGCAGGGAAGGATTAGAGGCTGGAATCTGTGCCCCATTTTGGGCTATGCTCTTGGGCAAATTGAATTATCTATGCTTTCCTTCATTCCTTGTAAAGAACTTTACACTTGGAGATGAGGACATTATCCTACATCCTTCCCTCTGAATTAAATAATCTGTCAATTCCTTGTGAGATGCAAAGGGACCAAAATCCCACACAAACCGGCCTGCAGATACTTTTCAATGGATTTTATACCTAGAGGGTCCCATTGAAATGCAAATACTGGGCCCTTCCCAATGAAACAAGTTTCTGTACCACAGATAATCTAAGCTAAAGGAAGCAGAATAGTCCATATGGAAATAACCTTCCCATTTAAAACATTATTAAAATGAGTACCTTTCAATGCACCAGGAAAGGGATTGTTGATGGCAAAGCACCAGTGGAGCACAAAGCCAGAGGGAAGTGCCTCTTGGAGCCATCTTTCTGTGCTGTCTCCAGGTCTTGGGAGCCCTGGAGAGACACCAGCAGGGCCATCACCTGCCCTGAGCTGGCAGAGGAGATGGGGGGGGGGGGGACCCAAGCACCAGGAGCAAGGGGATCCATCCCAGCTGCCACAACTCTGTCAGAGGTAAAAGCCAATTCTGCTGGAACTGCTTCATCCCTCCATGAACACTGGGCTGCTGCTGGATGTGGCAGAGGCACCCAAAGAGGAAAGTCTCAGAAAGAAAAGAATCTGCTGTACCATCTCCTGCCATTAAAGCTATGTCAGAAAACTGGATTTGTGTGTGTCTGTTTTCCTAAAGACACAAAGCCTCTACATGCTGCAGAGTCCAGCCAACAAAATTACTTTTGCTTCAACATATTCCTGGAAGCATGTGGGGCACTGACCCCAGTACCTCAAAGCAAAGTCACAGCTCTTCTGCAAAACCTGTGATCAATTTTTCCAACCAGTGTCCCATTTCAGCAATGGGAAATCGCTGTCTAAAGGTGCAAATACCATTTTTCATCAGTGTAACAACAGACATGGTTGCAGCTCATTTAATTAAGGAGCCTATTTTCCCTCAATTGTCTGTTAAGGCATCACACAGGTGTTTCATTTCAGAGTGCATTAGTACATGAGGCTCTAAGCCTAAAAGCTAATTTTTAACTTAACCTAATAATGTTAGTAATAACGACCTGTGATTACTGTCTTGTGAATCAGAACCTATGATACTTAAAATAATTAGCATCAAAGCCTAACTAGTACCTTGCTAAATTCATTATTATACCTAAACCCTCAGCACTGAATTGAACTTTAAATGAATATTGGTGTGGGCTTTCTCCCACACACACTGGAGGCAGCATTTTAACAAACTTATTTTCGAAATGTAGTTAAAGTTTTGATCATCAATCTTTTATTGGAGGAAGAAACTGTGGTATTAGCACAAAGTACAATTTGATAAAAGAACAATGATCTATTTTATGTGGTCCCTGCTGTGTTTGGAGCACACATTTCCCCCCAGCCAGGGAATTGCTCCAGGAATTACTACACTGCCCCAAATCTGTGGCCAGTGAAGCCCATTAAGCTCTCAGGGGACTTCTCTGGGGGGGCTTCTGAGGGTGACAGAAACCAGCTGGCTTCAGGAAAGGAAGCTTGGGTAAACCTTGACACAGGAGATTCCACAGCCTTTCCACCCCAAGAGAAAATCAAATCCTCACACATTTTGTCTCTCTTTTTGACAGTCAGCCTTTCCTCCGAGGTCACACAGAGACTCAGCTGTCCTCTGCCTCTGGAAAGGAGATGTTCCTTGGAAGGTGGCTGTCACTCCTGGTAAGCGAAGGAGTAAGAACAGAGGCTCAGAGCCCAGGGACTGGCTCCCCTCTAACAGCTGAAGGAGAAACAAAAGCCTTTTCCAAAACACAGTCAACAGCAAAGAAGGAGACAGAACGGCTTTGAAGTGTACCTCTCCCTCTTGGATCCAGTGTGAAGAGGTGGGACCACAGCAAGGGCCTGTGAGCAGCCAGTTATTATGGCCAGGAAATTGGGATGACTTGGAGGAGGTCTGGAGCCCTCAGCAGAGCGTGGCTTCCCCCAGAACCCTGCAGCTTGCCAGTGACCATCTCATTTTGTGTCTCACGTGCCTGTTGCTGGCAGGAGCAGCTCACAGCTGATGCCCCCCACAATGGAGGGGTTTGGAGGCCACACCTGACAGACAGAGCTGACCCAGGCTGGTGGCTGCAGCATCCAGGGCCCCAACTATGGGAACCAGAGACAAACCAGAGGGGAAAGCTGCTGAAGTGGCAGGAATCACTTATCCTCTGTGTGTGCCACAAAGAGGAACAGCCAGAACACCAGACCCTAAGCAATAAACAATATTTCAGGCATTACGAACACGCAGGAGAGCTCTGCTGATGAAAGATTTGTAGTTATTAATATCTGTTGAGTCCAAGCTGAGACCTGAAGCTCAGTCTGCACTTGAACCTTCTCCAGGTGCTCAGGTTTCCTGATGCAGATCTGCCTGACAAAACAACAACAACAAAGGCCTGAAAACATGCTGTTGATTTGGAGAAGAATTTCCTCCACGCATCCAGGAAAGTTCAGAGAAGAAATTGCTCGCCTGGGATGCATAGCTGTTAATACCTTCTCACAAGCTTTCCCACCCACAGAACGAAAAGCAAAAACCAGTTGGCTTTGGGGTATAAACCAAATTAGAAACAGGGAAGGGAAACCTATCAAGTACCCACAAGGAGTTTGGCTAAAGAACTGTGATGCTTCTGAACATTTGACTCGATATTCTCCCAGAGAAAATGAGAGGGAGGCCAAAACCTAAACATTCAATTCCTTTTAAAAATGCTACTTTAAGCCTTTAAGCCAGTTTGGGAGATTGTGTAAATTTTGTCCTGATGCAATAAAAACAAATAAAAAACTCCCAGTACTAATCACATTGAAAGTCAGATATCCTAAATGTCCTCTTTCTTTTATTTATCCCAGCTGCTGCATTATCACGCCCAACATAAGCAAGTCTAAGACCAGTTGTAAGTATCTGTGAAAAGGATCCTTAAGAAAACAAAATCTCCTGGATGTTAAAAGCTAAAGGTCCTGCAGATCATTCCCACTTTGTTAGGACACAGCATTGCTATGGGAGGGTCTCTCTGAGCTCACTTGTGTTCACAGAAGATGCTAGAGGAGGTTTTAAATTATTATGAGCATCTTAGCCAATTTTCACCCCAGATAATTAGAATTTTTTTTTGTTTGTTTCTTTTATTAATTACACTAATTACTGGCAGGGTCGGGGCTTTCTGCCCAAGCCCTCTGTACAGCCCTGACTGTAAAGCCTCTTGGTCAAGCAGACCCTGCACCTTCCTCAGTACCAGGTGGAGTTTGGAGCAGTTCTCCTGCCCTTACAAGTCAGCCAGCAGAGAGTCTCCAGCTCCCTGCAGGGCTCCAAAACCTCCTGCGAGGGTGGAGCAGGAAGAGGCTCCCGCAGTTGCCCTGCCGGCTGTCAGGAGGGACGTGCAGCCCCAGGAATGGCAGAGTCGGGCAGCCATGAGCCGATAGGGAGAATGGATGCTCAGAGGTGGAAGGGAAGGGAAGGGAAGGGAAGGGAAGGGAAGGGAAGGGAAGGGAAGGGAAGGGAAGGGAAGGGAAGGGAAGGGAAGGGAAGGGAAGGGAAGGGAAGGGAAGGGAAGGGAAGGGAAGGGAAGGGAAGGGAAGGGAAGGGAAGGGAAGGGAAGGGAAGGGAAGGGAAGGGAAGGGAAGGGAAGGGAAGGGAAGGGAAGGGAAGGGAAGGGAAGGGAAGGGAAGGGAAGGGAAGGGAAGGGTATAAAGAGATGCAGGAAAACTGGGCTAATAAGAATTTAGGTGTTATCAAACTACTGGAATGTGCTTCTGTCCAGTTTCCTATGGATGGTACATGTGGAACAGGAGTGAATATGCTGTGAAAATAACAGTAGCAGAAGAGCAGGTCTCTAGTTCACCTGGAAGTAGGGAGGTGCATAGGCATTTACATAGCCTATGTGAAACAAAAAATTTGGCCCTGAAGTGTTTGGCATCAGCTCTTCAGTATCTCCATAAGTGGATTTTCAGTCTTCATGCAGAAATCTTTGCATCCTTCCCATACAAAGCCACATCTGAGTTACATGCAGGAATCCTTGACAGTCACATTTCATGACCCCATTCCTTTTCCTGCCAACAAATGAAATGTCATTCACTGCAGCTTCATATGACTTGATTCTGAATGGAATGAATATAATTCAACATAAGTAAAACAGTTTTCACCACTTGGAGAAACTGCCCATGGGGACCACTTTGCTTCAGGGTTTTGGATTCTGGGCACCATGAGAAAGGGGCTGGGGACTGGGCACAATTCACTTTCCACAGGAATTTGTGTGATGGTGCTAATCTTCATCTTCCAACTCATCTTTGGACAGCAGTGTGGGAGGAACTGAAACATGGAGCAAAGACTCACATCTGAGTAAACAACATCAACAGCTGAGGTTTTTACACCCTGTCTGGCATTGGCCAGTGATGAAGGATTTCACTGCAGCCACAAACCTGTTGTTCCACCTTTCTCCATACCCAGACCTGTGCACAAATACACACACAGAGTTTGAGGGCCCATTCTTATAGGTCAGCCCTTGCTTTCCCCCATCACCCATGTCCTGTGGCATTGCTGCACTGACCCCAGTGCTTGGTGACCCCCAGGTGTTCCTTCCAGGAGGAAGAGGATGAAGCTGTAGCTCCCTGGGCTCTTCCTCCCTCCCAAGCTTGCCTTGCAGCATTCAGGCATCCCTGCACATTTAACCTGCCAGCTCTGGGTCGACCTCTGCTCCGCCTGGGGCCCAGGCCCTCGGGGAGTATGAGCCCTTGGCACCTCGCTGCAGAACGGCTGTGTGGCTCCATGCCATCCTGCTGCTGCAAACAATCCTTCCCGAATCCTTTCAGGTGTGCTATTAATTCACCGGGAAAACTGTTGGGAGACTTTCATTGCATAACACAGCCAACCTCAGGACCAAAACAGAATGGAGGTGTTTAATCAGAGCAGTCCCCTCCAGTTCCCACACCAGGGAGCTGAGCCAGATCTACATCTGAGCTCTGCTGCTCACAAGCTGAAGAGACCTGGGGGTTCTCCATGCTGCTTCAAGCATCCATCAAAACAACTGTAAATGAGTTACGTTTCAAGTATGCAAGAACTTGCTTCTCCATGCCAAAAAACGATTAGTGTTCTCAGGCTTCCAGCAATGCAAAGCAGAGTCTGCAATGTCCTGATGAGAGATAGATGCATTTCCTCTTAGACAATTAATATTAGGGGTGGGTTTTATTGCCATTCTTTTTTATGTTGTTAACATCCTGCCCTCTTTCCTGGTTCCTCCCGAAGAGCTACAATGTAATTTGCAAGACTCCCCTTTGTAAGATGTAAACATTTACTAAACATTGTCTTTCCACTTTGTATTATGACAAAAGAATAGAAGTCAAGATGTTAAATATATTTCTGTATTTGCATCTGAAAGCCCCAGGCCTTCCTGAACATGCTTGCAGATAACTTCTATTGTTTCCAGCACGTTGTTACCTTTTTCTGTGGATCATCAGGTCCGTGAAAATCCAAGGGCGAGGGGCTGGAATCCTGTCTAGGAGCCACCCACCACCCAGTGCCTTACCAGTGTATCCATGCCCTATGATGATCATCCATGTTATTCCACCTGATTGTTTCACCCTGGGACAAACCCAGCCTGGCCTCCAAACACGTCGCTGGGATTTGAGAACCAGACCTTTTCTGCAATGCAAGCCAACTAAACCAGAGACTGAAGCAGTGACTGCAGAGGGCGTTCCTGTAGCCACCAGGCGCTTTGGCAGCAAAGACTCGGGTGATGGGTGTGGTCCGGCTGTCCCCGAGGGGTGGCCGGGCTGTCCCAGGGCTGTGGTGCTGCAGGACAGACCAGGGGCTGCTGACAGACCCCGAGTGCAGAGCACAAACCACCAGCACACCAGAAACCCTCCTGAGCATTCTCTGGAGCCAGGAGCACCTGGAAACACTTCAATCACCTCCCTTACGTCTCCACTAGATAGAAGAAATCCAGGAGCTTTATCAACAGTGCCTTTGCCAGAAGCAATGAAAACAGGACCTTCAGCCCAGTTTGGATGGAGCCTGGAGTGCCCAAAGCCCGGCCCTGAGCCCCCAGCAGAGCGTGGCCACCTCAGCTCCTGCAGCAGTGCACCCACCCTGGTCTTGTGTTCTCTCCTTTGGTGTTTGCCTCTCTCTCTGCTTGCTATAAACACCATCCTATATTGCAGAGACGGCAAGAGATGGCACCACATTCATTGATGTAACGTTCTCCAAGGGCATAAAAAAAACCCCGTTTTGCCTTCCATATCCCTAATCAAATGCTTTTTGTTTCCATTTCTTCCTTGTTATTTTGTGCATGTGTGTGCACATGTATTTTGTCAGGAGTAAAGAGCATAGTTTACCCCATTACACATACACACACACATTCTTTAAGCACAATGATTTGGAAAATTTCCTGTTAATATTCCTACTTAATAAGTAAACATCATTTAAAGAAGAACTGCTTAGCATCACCTGGGGTTTTCTTAAAAAATAATAAGAAAATCCAAGATGTGAGGGTGTAAGAAGACATGCCCAGCCTGACTCTGTAATACAGATGTGACTTCAGGATATGAGTTTACAAAACTGATTGAAGCAAAAGGGGGAAAACTGATTTTCCTAGAGCTATAGGAACAGTTTCAGAACTTAAATCTTTTTTTAAAATCACACCACAACCACAGGGGCTGAAATCTTCCTGAAATTTTTGGAGGGAGGTGGGGCTGTTTGTTTTAAATAGCCTGCTAACCTCATCTGCTACTGCAGACAAAGCCTTAGGCCAATCCTGCAAACACCTCTGGTATTGTTCAGAGCAGTCGCTTTTGCACCTGCCAGGAAATTTGTAAGATCAGAGATCCACCTCCTGCAACTTCTTTGCCTTCCTGGAAACTCCCCCAGAATAGCTGACTGGGTAGGATTAGGCTCTTGCTTTGGAGGTTGATTATGTGATCTCTGTTTCTTTCAGCCCTGCCAGCCAGGGCTTACCTCCAGATGAGTATTTCAGCACATGCTTAACCTTAAGCAATGAGATACTCGTGCTTATAGTTAAGTATATGCTTAAAAATTCAGTTGGAAGCATATCACAAGCACATTCTTACATACTTCTCTGGGCTGGGCCTAACCAGACCTCTCCTGTTAAAAGAGACTTTTTTTTTTTTTTCTCCCAACACTTATCCCATCACTGTAATT